AATTGCCTTGAAGGAGGTTACTATCAAGCCCAGAACGCTCATGCAGAATCAGAGCTTGCTGGCTCCTGGATTGTAGAATCCATGTTTGGGCACAGTCTCAGCAGTTTGTCTTGGGGGAAAAAACCTGTAGGGTCTGGATTGTCCACAACACATAGTGTGTTAGAGTTTGAACTGACTGTTCCCTCAATAGGAGGCCATCCAGATATGACACAATAGGAATGCCCTAAGGGTGTAGTAAAGCTAGCACGGGTGCTAATATCTTGGTGAATACTCTGGGTGCAGATCAGTGTTAATTTTAATGGCAAATTTCAATTTAGTCTTAGTTTTTTAACTAAAATATCATTTGTCATATTTTAGTAATCTGAATAGTTTGTTTTAGTCTAATTTTAGTAGCCTAAATCTCCAGTAGATGTAGTCTACTAAATCTAATGTGTTTATTTAAAGCGTAAAGCATTATTTAAGCAAGTCTCTCGAATTTCCAAACTCATTATATATTCCTGGAGACCTGTTATGACTTACGATTTTTGCTTTACAAAAAGGTCTTATCTTTAGCATCAAATGTAAAATGCATCCATACATCTGCTCTTCTTTCTTCCCGACGTTGACATGTAGACATGTGCGATTCGTTTAGTTCCGAATCGAAATTCGGACGAATTTTCGTAAATTCGGACATTCGGATGTATCCGAATTAGACATAATGAATGCAAACGAATCCGAATTTCCATTTCCGAAATTCGGTAGCGTTCGCACGAACGTTCGTTTCGTTTTCTGTTCTTATTCGTTTCGTTCGTTGGCGCAAAGTGACATTAGAGAAGGAGAAAAATATTTTTTCCCCCTCAAATGTCACTTTTGCTGCAAACGAACGAAACGAATAAGAACAGAAAACGAAACGAACGTTCGTACTAACGCTACCGAATTTCGTCCGAATCCCGAATCCGAATTGACTTTCACACCCAAATCCTGAAAAACGAAATAACACAAATCCGAATTTAAAACGAAACAAATTTTTTGGCAGTGCACATGTCTATTGACATGTCTGCACAGTTTGTGCAGCAAGTGTTTGCTAGCTGGTGTCCTGCTGGGTAGATAAGTGGGTTTTCACGTCTGCCTACTACAGGAAGAGCTCAGGGAACCGGAAGTCCAAATGCAATAGTGCCTCTCGTTTTCATTTAATTTTCCAACAAAAATTCCCAGAATGTTTGTTTCGATGTAATAACTTCTCTATTACTTCGTTTTTGTCACAAAAAAAAAAACCCATGCAGATGGCGAAAAACACAAGTTTTCGGTGACAAAATGTACACTGGTGCAGACAACCATTCAAAAGGTAGGGCCACAAAATAGTAGTGTTACGTTCCGACAACAAAATGGAGATGGTTGATGTGCTGGAAAAATGGGGATTTGCAAGTACGTTTCTTTTGTGTCCAGAGGCTAAAAAGTCACCCTGATGAAAGGAAGCCACGAACGACTTGACTTGGTGGATTCAATACAAAACTTTTGCACTCAAAGCCATTAAAAGCCTTCAGATCCAAGATGGGGCAGATTTTCCCTTTTGGTTTTGGATCAGTGAAAAGATTGAAGTAAACCCCTGAGACCTTTCTGACCTTGAAGCAATGGGATAATTCCTTGGCTCAAAAGATTGACAAGAGCAGCTTTAAGGTCTGCTGGTCTGTGCAGAGACAGAAGCAGGTGTGACAATGTGAAAGGTTGGAGAAGAAGAAACAAAACCTCCTAAGGGAGTCGCAACTTCCCAAATTGAGGCCTTGGCTTCTTTTGCTGGGGTAAAGGAGTATACTTACTGCCAGTGACATCCTTTAAGAAGCTGCCACAATAAATGTTACCCATCAGAAGGCATGCACAGCAAGCGCTTCTTACATAGTTGCATAGAATTTGAGGTTGAATGCACAGGTCCATCAAGTCCAACCTGAGTGTGTGTGTGTGTGCGCACGAGTCATTAAGAGTACCTGTACCCCTGTATGTTTTGTTCTCTGAGTAAAGTATCTCAAAGGTTTCTGAATAATTCAATACTCTTAGCTGATACCACTGCTTGTGGGAGTTCCACAATTTTACCACTCCAATAGAAAAGTATCTACTTTGCAGCTTGAGGTTAAACCTTTTTTTCTTCCAATTTGAGATGGTGGCCTCTTGTCTTCTTTATTGAATTTACAGTAATCAATTACGGCTATTGCCATTAAAACAATTTGTACATTACAATCAAGTCCCCTCTTAAATTTTGCCAAACTTCCCTTATAGCTTTGGCACTCCAGCCCTTTTATCAGTTCGTGAGGCTGAACCAGTGTTTCATAATGTGGCAACATTATTTGGGAGGCTTATTGTAAATCTTTAATGTTTGCTAAGAATATGTACACATCGAAATGTCCATAGCCGGCACATCGAAATGTCCATAGCCGGGCCACAGTTCCATTTGAAAGTGTTATGTCAAGCCAAGCAGGCCACTTCCTGCATGGCAAAACAAAGTGAGCAGGTCAGGAAGTCAGGGTAATTATTAGGGATGCACCGATACTAGTATCGATACCGAGTATTTGGGCAAGTACTCGTAGTGGCCCAAATGCTCCGATGCCTAGCACGAGTACTTCCTGTATCAGGAAGCTGGGGCAGCGCGTTATTACACGCTGCCCGGTTTCCTGATTGGCCGGGAAGCGGCTCCATGCTCTCTCGTCACTTGTGATGAGTGCATAGAGCCGGCTTCCTGGCCAATCAGGAAGCCGTGTGCCGTGTAATGACGCGACGCCCTGCTTTCTGATTGGCTGGGAGGCCGGCTTCATGCTCCCTTGTCATCTCATGATGAGGGAGCATGAAGCCGGCCTCCCAGCCAATCAGAAAGCAGGGCGTCGCGTCATTACACGGCACACGGCTTCCTGATTGGCCGGCCAGGCACCGGATGAAGGCCGCTTTCTGGCTGGAGAGGCCCCGGGGGTGACAGGCTGGACATACCAAGGTAAGAGGGGACAGACTTTCTTGTTAAATCAGGAAGCCGGGTGGCGAGTCTTTACACGCTGCCCGGCTAATCAGGAAGCCAGGTGGCGAGTTATTACACACCACCTGGCTTCCTGAATGGGACTTCCGTTAGTCGGTAATTGGTATCGTTGAGTACCGAAAAAAAAAAATTAATCGGTACTCGGTTCCAAAATACCGGTATCGGTGCATCCCTAGTAATTATCTATAAAAGGAACCCCTGATAGCAGCCATGGACAGTAAATGCCATTGGCCATCTACTAATCAAACCAGAAATCAATGAAAAACAGGATAAAGAATCCAGTATGTAAAAGGTTTTGTAAGAATGCTTGTATAAATTTGGACTTTACCATGACTGACAACATTTTTTATTTCCCTGGTTAAAGGAAACCTGTGAGAGAAAATATGGAGGCTGCAATTTCTGCTCTTTTAAAAAATATTTTCACCCTGCTGTCTCTGACTTGTGCACTTTGAGTCGCTGATTTGGAACAAGCATACAGATTTGAAAAGTCGGAGTGAAATCCAAATCCCATTAAAGCATACTTATTCAAGGTCAGTGCCTCAAAAATGCTGCACACATTTGAACAGCATGGCACCTAGTGTTTTGTAAAAGAGAAAGCCACCAATGACAGCCTTCATCTTCATTTATGCTTATTCTTACGTTTCCTGTGAAATCTAAACTGTTATAGTGCGTTTCAATTGACAAAGGCATGTAGATTGACATGAATGGAACCCAAATCAAAAGTCAAACCACAAGTACGTGTCCTATTCCTTTTAATACCACATGTATTTGCAATATATATATAGTTTTGTTCCACAGAAACTAAAACAATTTGGAAAAAAAAAAAAAAAAAAAAAAAAAAATTTTGT